CGTGTCGTCGTCGTGTCGTCTGTGTGTGTGTGTGTGTGTGTGTGTGTGTGTGTGTGTGTGTGTGTGTGTGTGTGTGTGTGTGTGTGTGTGTGTGTGTGTGTGTGTGTGTGTGTCATGTGATGATCTGTTAGAGAAACAAGCTGTGTAGTGTTTTGATTTCCTCTATAAGTTTTGATGTTTGAAATTATTTATGCAGAAGACAATTTGATACACTGTGTGTTTGTTTGTTGGTGGATGATGCTCAGTTTTTAAAATGCATTTGAAAGGAACTGGCAGATTGTTACGATGAATTCAAATATTAATTATAGACAAGTTGGGAGAAATATTCAAGTTGTTTCGTTGATGGAAAAGTCTAAACCTGGAAATCAACCTGTTCAAAGGTTTTTCTTTCATGTGGTTTATGGGAATTTGTAGAAAGAAAACAAACAACGCAAAAGGTATGGCTGTGCTCTCGAAGGCCTGCTCTGTCTCAGCAACTTGAAAATAAACGATAATTTGTATTCAGATACTGTCAGTGTGCTCGGAGATAAACTGATTCAAACCTTTCATTATGACATGAGACAGGACGGTGACGTATATAAGCCGGCATGTGATTATGTAACATCCTGTACTGTACATCACAAAAGCAGTAACGCTTCATCTTACAACAGAAATGACACCGATTTATGTATTTTAAATGTTATTGTTTAAAGGATTAACCTACAACAACCATAGGGCATAGTTAGTCATAGATTTGTTAGTTAAAAGAAAGGTTATTGCTGTGAATACATTGGATTTTTTATATTTTAAAACATTGCTTTTCCTCTTAATACGTTTTAAAATTGTTATTTCTTTTGTCTTTTCCATCTGTTAACGACTTTAAAGACAAGATAACAAAATAAATGTTCAAATGTCTTGTCATTGGTTGGAGAATGGAAATGTCAAATTGCTTTTGAAGTCTTTCTAAAGGGAGCTTGTAGAGAAGTTTAAGCAGCATTTATTCATTTTAAAAACACTAGAGGTTGTACCTTCATGCAATGTGCAATATCAATAGACTGATGTGGATCAGCTGTAGACCTGCAGGTACCATGAGAGCCCTTTATATTTGGAGAATGAGACTGAAAGTGAAGCCTCTCTCACATTTATGGACTCACTTGACCCAGAGGCCACTTTTCTTCTGAGTAGGACATCTCAGAAATGAAGGAGTTGTCTTGGTGGAGCTGACAGAGTTTAACACGAACTCTTGCAAGAAGTAGAACATATAGGCAATGAGTAAACACATTTAGGGGTGGAGGAACATATTTAAATTCAAAGAAAACACAGGAAGTAAGAGAGGAGAAAGCATTTCTCAAAGCAACAGTTATAGGCCAGGAAATACAGTTCCCGATGGACCTGCAGTAAATAATAGATCCTTTAAAATAAATCTGGGGTTGGATCCAGATTACATTAACATCACCATTTCTTAAAAGTAGCTTTAGGTGTGTGGTTGGGATAGAGGAAGAAATGTGCACTTGTTTGTTCCATCATCATCTTTTTCAGACTCAAAGTGCATTAGAAAAACACAAACAACAAAACATACATCAAATTAAAAGCATGGCCACTTTCTTTCAAGAAAAGACAGTTATATCAATGTTTCCACAGAGGAGACGTCATCGTAAAATACTAAACCTATAGGATTTGACAGCAGTATAATAAAAGTTTGCATTCATTAGTGGAAAAATACATTTATAGATCTGGTTTCTCAATAGAGCCTGGAAAGTGTTAGATCAGGGGTGTCAAACTCAAATACACAGAGGGCCAAAATAAAAAAAATGGGTACTAGTCGAGGGCCGGACTGGTTCAATGTTTATTGCAGAACGTATTGAAATGAACTTATTGCACATATTAAACCTGGAACTAACAAAGCTTAAATGATTGCCTATAAAAACAACATCAAACATTAAATAATCAGCTGCATTCATTGCTTATGGCTCTATCTGCAGATTTTCCAGAGTCATTTCTTATGATTACATTTTCCCACAGGCCAACAACAGCTTCAAAAAAACTATTTCCCTCAAAGAACAAACCAAACATGCCCTGTTGTCGTGAGAGAAAAAGTGTTTGGGCTCAGGCTCTGAGCTGAGGAGACCCTCAGGATGGAGTGAAGGTGTGCATGCAATATACCGGCGGGCCAGATCTAATAGTATTTAGAAATTATCCTGCGGGCCGAAATTAAATCCACCAAGGGCCTGATTTGGC